GTTATTTGAACATTCTTCACTGCTTCTCAGCTGAAGCATCTTGTATATTCTATAAAATCTCTACCATTTCAGCAGTTGTGCTCACAACATGAACACCTTCAACTAACAAAGACAATCTTCATACTAGATTAGGGGGTAGAGAAAATAATGAGCCACGGATGATAGCTATAAGTTATAATTCTCTGCTTTGACCAGAGGGAGAGAATGAATTAATTCTTACAGGAAGGGCAGTATAATTTTTTTACTTTTTCAGTTTATTCTACACTTCACAGTCTTCCTTTTTTGGGGACTGTTATTCTTCAATGTCAGTATCTATCTGAAAATGAGTATTTTTAGACCTTTGTGCTGAGGAGAATTTTTTTTTTCCAGTGTAAGAGTTAATGGCTGAATACTGACATAATATGACAAAAGCTGTGCTGGATTTTAAGAGATCATTAAAGGAAAAAGTATCACTTTCTCACTTTCTACCCTATCAGTATTTTTTCCCCAAATATTTCTTCTTAGGTTTACACAGCAGAGAAACCTAAAGAGTTTTTTACTGAAGCATGAATAGCTAGTTCAGTTGTGTGAATAAATAATAGTTTAGAGAATCAAATAGTCATGAAAATGTCATGGACAAAGAAGGCTCCAAGGTTTGAAACTGAATTGTCTCCTGGTTTAGCAATTCTATCCCCCCACTGCTCAGAAATTATATTGTGTATGTTCATGCAGATAAATTTGGATATATAATTAGATGTTTTGTCTATTCATTTACATATAGTTGGGCTTTCGTACTGGTTACTGAAACAAACATTTGTGTGTGAATTTCAAGAAACAAAATTGAAATGATCTCACAGAGGCTGTGGAATCTCCATCCTTGGAGATACTCAGACATTCACCAACCTGCTCTGAGTGGTCCATGTATTACAGCACTGTAATTAGCCTTGTACCACCCAGGACAGTCAGAATACACATTATTACCCTTGGGAAAATTAGGGTAGTGGGTCAACTGAGGGAAATTAAATGTCAGACAGTGTTAGAGACAGATACTTTGATGCTGAGCTTGTGTGTCCCTCTTTCACATGCACCTCCAGGCATTCCCACCACCCCCTGAATGAACCCTGCATCTCTGCAGCCTCCCTGCGAGCTCTTTGCTCGATGATCCATTTACAGGATGTGTCAAGGACAGTCTCTGGAGGAGAGAATAAAGTTCCTGACACTCAGCTGAGATTCAACCTGCCCAAATTGGGATATTTACAGTGTGGATACCTACAGCTGAGGTAGTCCCTCCAAAATCCCTCCCCAGTTAACAAGAGATGCAAACTTCCAGGTCCCCACCCTAAGGGAACTGGGACAAACTGGATAAGGCAAACCTGGAGCCAGATAAAAGCTACCCCAACCCAAATCCTTGTGTTCTGAAATACTACAGGTACCTGCCTCTAAAACAGTATGAAATAGTACTGGTACCTGTCTTTAAAACAGAAAAAGTGTCCTATGCAAGTGAAATGAAAATAAAGTGAAGAATTAATTAACTAACTAGAGGTGATTAAAGTAAATAAAGGAAACAATTATCATATCAAAATAAAAGACAAGAAAGATGATTAAATGAGTCTTCAAAAGACCCATGAGAAACTCATGAAAGACATAATATGCCTTTTACCTGGTTTTCAGTCTTTCATGATTTCATTTTAATTTTTATTCACTACCATCTGATAATTGCAAGAAACAGTTACTTTAACCATAGGCAATTTAAACCATTTAAATTTTTTTCCAGGGCCAAGAAACAAAAGAACCTATTTATTGCCTGAGGGGATTTTTACTAAAATGAAAGCTTAATCTTTCATGTTTTTTTAAGCGAAGGCTTTTAAAAAATCATTTCTAACAATGCTGTAGGGAGACACTTCCATGGGTATGCAAAATTGAAATTATAAATTTACAATTATAAAAAAATTAATAGTTTGGGGGATTGTATTGTCTCTGTTCTTTCTGAATGAATACTCTTTCAAGCTTAAGAGAAAGTATTTAGCACATGGAGGAGAACAAGTGTCCTTAGACTCTCCTGCAGTCAAAGCTGTTTAGTCAAAATGGGAGAAAGATGGAATTTAATTTGTTTGGAAATCCTCAAATATAAATGTCCCACTGACTCTTCACTTCCTGGCCTGTTTTTCTGTGTTGCCACTGCACTGAAGTTGGCCTGACCACTATCTACTCTGTACCACTGATGGTTGCTCAATCTTAGCTATGTAAAATTAAGCTTCAAGATGAATTTTAACTGAAACAACCTTCTTTTGAGACTCTTATGACACGTGTTTACAAAGGGCAAGAACAAGAGCTCTTGGTCAAAGATTGATTCGGGAGAAGTTTTCAGGGGAGCTATATCTGGAGAGAAGCACAGATATGATTTTTATGTGGCTGCCATGGTTCAAGGCATACTGGAAGTACACACTTTTGCCCATCTCCATTCTATGCAGTATTTTACCTTTAACAACATCAAGAAAAGGATTAAATTTAAGCATCTGCCTTTGCACTGCCACAAATGTGGGCTGTTTTCTCAACTACAAAATATTAATTTAATGCATTATCTGGAGAGATGTAAACATTTCTTCCTGGGCTTAGTGCAGGCTTTGAAATCAGACAAAATAATTTACACTTATGAAACACAACAAGCTGAAGTGTTCTGTTAAAGGAAAACTAGACTAAAAAAATACCCTTAAGGCCTCCAAACATCCACACATTGAAAGGCAGATTTAAATGTTTTCTGCCAACATATTTCAAGTTTTAGTGGAAACACTTTGAGCTACTATGAAAAGCTTTATCAAACTAAATTCATTTTCCATGGAGCAGAGAAGAATCATTGAAGATATTATTCAAGTTTACAAAATATGTAATAGGGTGGAGAATGTGGAACCAGATAAGGAAGGTTAAACTGAAGAACATTTTAATAAGACTTGATTTAAGGTTGGCTGTGCAACATAAATAGGTCAGTGGACCTACCAGAGGTTTCCAAGCTGTCTAATTTTAGAAAACCTGTGTACAGGTACCATCTGTAAGATTTTCAAGGGCAACTGGCATTCTGAAGACACTATTTGAAAGGCTAAATGTCCAGAATGTTTTGAAAATAACGCAAGTTCAATGTGCTAGCCAAAATTATTAATCTCTTTGGAAAAACCCCTTGGTATCTGCTCTATAATACTGCTCAGAGCAATAGGAAGCTCTAGTTACCCCAAAGATATATCTGCCCAGTCTAGTGGAAGCACCTGTCTACCATGGGCCTCTGCAGACCTGGAAATCAGATAAAACAACCTCCCAGGTATTCAGAGAGCCTCAAGATCAGGTTAAAAGGGTCAGACAGGCAGGATAGAAGAGTATGTTGGACAGGGAAGGAAAGCAATGTGGCCCCTAAGGTTGAATCCAAGTTCTGTGTGTGCATGGCAAAACAAAGTTCACAACAGGAACATTCTGGTGCCATTGTGCTGCAGAGCAGCAAAGAAAAAGGGAGTTAATTTCCAGCCCCTCTGCACCACAGTGCGGTGCATTGAGCTGCCCTGGGAACTCTTGTCAGTATGGGTCAAGATATGTTGTGTGTGTTTTGGGAAGACAAGGCTGCTCAGACATTTATCAGCTAAACTGCAGAGATATCACAGAGCATGCATGAAATGCAACATTTCTGCTTCTATAAATGGGTGGCATTTAGACAGGTGCAACAAGGAAACACTGACACTGGGAATAGCCTTTTCCAAAGTGCTAAGTCCCAGCTCCAGGACAGAGGGAAGAGATTGCTCAGGTTTAAAAAAAGCACATAATCAAGCCAAAATTATTTTTACTCAACCTGCTTCTTAGAGGTGCTGCTAATGAATATTATTTTTACGTCAAGATGATGCTCGTGCCAGAAACAGGAAAATTCTACACAGACTTAGTACTTGCCAAGCTTCTTTCCATTTAGCCTCAGCCCCAAACAAACAATAAAACTGTAATATAATGGGAGTCCTGGCCAGCACTAAGACCCAACACCACATTCAGTCCCAGTTCTTTTTTGCAGTGAAGACTGTTTTCCTTACTGATGAGCTCAGTCTGCCATGAATTACTTTTTGATGGGGGATAAATACACACTTAAACAAGATTAAACACAAATGTTCTTTAGTGGTATCTAAAATAATATGAATGTTTTTTAGAACAGCAATAAACACACTTCATGATGCAAATAATTACACCCTGCAGCCTTTATGTAACAATAAGTGGCCGAATTTTCTACTCAGCTGTATCACTGTAAAGCCAGAGTAACTACACTGAATCAACACCTCTCTCTGTGAATTATGGAGATTCTGAAGTGTTACCTAAGCCTGAATTTGCCCCAGTTTCTCTCTAGGGCTTTGGAGATATCAGACATGCATGTCTGGAAATCCATGTGGTGGTCATGGAGGCATTTCTACCTCTTATCCTTCTGCCCCCATAATGAAGTCAGAATCTGGCTGTGTATTCCTTGTGCATCTGATATCACTTCTGTACCTGTGTAGTCAGGACCAGAAGAAAGCTCAGTTGGGATCCAGCAAAAGAAAGGAAAAATAAAAAAGACTTCACAAAAATTCATTAAGGGCAAAGCAATACTTGTGTGTGATGGGAATCAAAGATCACTATCTTGGGGATTAAAAAGAACCACCTCAGCTGATTTTCCTTTGGATGAGAAGAAATTGGTCATGTTCTGAAATCTTTGTGAAGGGTTAATTTTATCTTAAGTTTCCCATGCAATTGTAATTTTCACGCAGAGTTTTTTAAGATGGGTCTGTTAGGCTTTAATGGCCCCTGAAATGAATCTGGAAAGGCGAACATGCCCACATTGGACCACTTGAAAAAGCAGTTATTTTCTTGAAAATAACAGCAACAAAGATGCACTCAACTGTTAAAGGTTCTTCACAATTTACACGAGCACGGAACTCATGACACAACATGGAACCAGTGTTTTAACTACCATCTTCCCCTTGCCTGCCATGTTTGTGTGCTGGAAGCAGGCACTTTGCTCTTACCAGGACTTGTGAGGGCTCCCAGAGCACCAGTCGTTGTGGAGAGAGGGTTTGCATTGGTGGTGGTAGCTGAGGTCTGGGCGGCGGCTGCTGCGGCTGCTAAAGTTGCCAAATTCTGTAATTGTAAAGCGTTCATGCCTATGTGGAGAAGCAATAGGGTTAATTAAAACAGGTAATCATCATCATCATGATCATCAAAAAGTGCTATTTTGAATGGTCATGGAGCTTGGGGTGTATCTTGCCAATAAACTAGATTATTTTCATTCCCGAGACATCTATAATCTCAAACCACCTCTTACAGCTCCTGAAGAGTATTTCTCATCTCTCTACCTTGGAGTTGAGAGAATGCACCAAAGACACCAGCCTATACTTCAGGCAAATTAAACCTGGTTTGCGCCTCTTCTAAGGGAAGTGTAGAATTAAAAGTCATTTAAACTCTGTGTGAAGCCCAGGCACAATATTATTTCCTGACACAATGGGGGATATAAAGAAGATAACTAGCATTTAAAACACATTCAGGACAGGGTCATATAATTAGGATGAATAAAATTTGTTTCCCATGTCTCCCAGTTTGAATGCTTAGAAACTTGTCTGATTTTTTCTGAATGTTAGTTTGCCTAGAAGATATATTATTTCTCCCTGCACACTTTGTATTTCAAACAGAGGAGCTTAACAACAACTTGGAGAAAATGAAAAAAAAAAAAGAGATTTAAATACAATAATTGGGAAGTATGTTTGAGAAAAAAAATGTGATGAAGGAGAGGTACTTTCTAGGAATTCAGAACTCCTGCAATAATGGAGAATGATATTACTTTCAAACACAGGTATTGCAGACTCAGGTTAGTACAATCAATAATTTCCATAAAGAGAAATTCTTACAGTCACAACATTAGGGACTGTGAAATGAACCTTGATATAAACATCTATTTCTGAATAAAGCCCCAAATTTGATTGAGGTTCTAACGCAGATGTCTCAAATTCAGTTCAGATGTTGAGGTTTTTGAAAATGTGACACGGTTGCAATGGTGGGAGTTTAGATTTTAGTTGATCCACAATACACCAATTCATAGTCTGGAACTGGAACAAGACACTTGGAGAAATTACATGACCAAGAAAGCTCTTTAAGGTTTCTTTTGGAGGCTCAAGACCATCTTAAAAGATACGGCTTTTCTCAAACATTACTAATCCAAACTAGTTTGTAAGACACAGTTCACCTGTATACAAACAACATAGTTTTATTTTTTTAAATTACTTGTCTGATTTACTGGCTTGCCTTTAGTGTAAGTATTTTTTTTCCCCACCAAAGAATTATCTTGCTTTTGTAATAAGACTGCAAACTACTTCAAACAAGATTTTGGGGATGGAAAAGACTCGGACCCAAATCTTTGCGAACAAAGTAGTCAGTAACCCTCAAAATGAGATATGGAATTAATTTTCATTATGGACTGATATTGGTGCTTGATTATAATTTACCTTCCTATTTCATAATGAGAATAAGTAATTCAGCAAAGAATATCCAGCAAACATTGCTGATCTTCACTGAAGCTGTATTTTCATGCCATCCTGTAACAAGGATTTGGGAAAGCAATGGGTTGCTCTCCTCCAGAGGAATGGCTTTCTATCACCCACTGTTTAGTTATTCATCAAAAGGATCAGTCATAACCAGCTTATATTTCTTCTGTGTGAGGGTTCCTTTGGGCTTTCAAAGGGTATACATAGTAGGATTAAATAATTGTGATGAATACAGAATGATTCTTGAGGACAGCCTAGACCAGACAAGGTCAACAGGCAGCAGAGCAAACAACTGCTCTCTCTGCACTCATGAATCACCCTTGCACCTCTGTGGATGCAAAACAAATACCATCATTGCCTCATTCCACAAAAACTTTTTTTTTTTTTTTTAAATAAGCACAGGAGGAACCCATCAATTTGGCAAATGAGTTTCAATGTCCAAAGAAGATGAATGAACAAGGGCTTGGTGGTGATGGAGTTGTCTCCTTACACAATTTGTTTTACTGTAGCAGTGACTGTAAGGCATTGGCCACAAAACAGCCTGCAGGTGTTATAGAGTGTCAGCTTGGGTGTTTGCAGGAGAAAAACCTGCTGGCTGTTGTCACACCTAAATAAGAGAAGGACAGCACCCAGCATGCTCTTGAGCCCATTTTGTCAACAGTTTTATCACTTAATATGCATCTTCTTTAGGATCCTCTGTCTGCTCAAACATCTGAAAAATAAATCCTGTCATCACTGTTTCACATTCCCCAGGCATTTTTCCATCTCTGCTCCCTCTTTATTGGTTTCTCCCATCAACTTGTCAGGACTGTCAACATCCCATTCGCTTGGACAAATTTGGAAGAGGGAAACCAAACACGCTGAAGTCCCAGACCCCAAAAGTACTTTGCTTTCAAAGGGGGATTTTTGGTTCAATTGAACCTCAGCTAAGGTACAGTTCTGCAGTTCTGTGGGATGAATCTGCTCTCTCTTTTTCTCCCCTTTCACACACACCCTTCACACATTTCACATCCTACGTTTTTTTTTTCAAAACAGCCCCAAATCCCGCAACAGAGCTGGACAGCAAATGAGTAGATGGATTTTATTTGAAAGTGCTGCTCACTCAGCAAATGCACCTCTCTGAAGAAATGCAAATTGCTTAACACTGAAGAACAGCCTCATAGGCAGAGCTGCACATGAAAAATGAATATCTTCCTGTAGAGGAAAAAAAAACCCTTCTGGGTAAGGAATAACTCTTGATCTTCATGATGGAGACAATGTTGGGAATTAAAGGGAAATGATTAAAAAACCCAGATTCACAATACAGTTTGATTCCATTTTTAATAACATGTATTTACCAATGTGCTATCAACTTGGCAAATATTCAAAATTGCAAGGAAAATCAACTTTCATTTTGTTATTTGGCAGATTAAAAAAACAATTAAATTATGTACAAAACAGATGCACAGTATGCCTTGCTTGAAACTTAAGATTTTAAAAAAAATTATTTATAAGGATAGGGGCATGAAAATTTAATTTAATGTTCACCTTAGGTAATTTTGTGTCTTATTGTTCACAGCAATTACCATAAATCTACATATCAATAAGCGAGAACAGATGTCAGTTGTTACAAGTGCTTGCCAATCAGGCCTGTTAAAAAGTGACAGATGGATGGTGATAGAACATTCTCATAAGGCCTATTAGCACATTCACAGGAAATTTTTGTAGTGCTGCACAGTCACAGATGCAGTTCTGTGAAAACACGGGGAAATTTGAGAGCACGAGATTTACATTTTACAACTTCTTGCGCTGCCTCTGACACAAACTTTCATACAATGAAGTAATTTGCCTCGTTTCAGTCACTGCAGCTTTTCTCCTGTGATAACTGTAAATTTGGAATTATTGGGTATTTGTAGAGGAGGGAACGGAGTCACAAGCCGTTCCTCAAGATTTCTTGAGCCTCATCAGCTCTTGAGTTTCTAAAACCATAATAAAATCGTATTAGAAAATAGCTGAGATTGGCTTACTGCACAAATTCCAAAAAAAGGAAGGCACCAGCTACATTTAGTGGCACTGTATGCATGGAGAGTTTCAAAGTCAGTGGTGATTATCAGAACCAAATCTGATCGCTCATAAGCAGTTCCCACTGACTTGACTTCCTTTGCTTTGGAAATTTTATCCCTCTCAATTATTAGGATTTATTCCATCTGAATTAAATCCTGTCTGCAGCTTAAAAAATGTGGATTAAGGTAAAATTTATCATCTCCAGGCTGAAAAGCAACTATTTGCTAACACTGACATCAGCCATTTTGGATGCTGATGGTAAATTGTGTATAACGGTGGAGGGTGAGACTATTCCAGAAATTCTAAGAAGTAAAATAGACAGGAGCTCTAAGTGCCGCCTCCATCAAACCATATATATTCTGTGGCTACTTTTAGAAAAGCTGCTTATCTGAAAAGTGCTTGAGGTAGCCTGACCAGTTACTGTTTGATTGAGCAAAGCCCTTAAAACAGCTTTTAAGTCCACAATTGATTCCGCCCTGTATTTTAAGAGTACGTGCTTAAATGTGACTGCAGGTTCACAGAATCATAGAATGGTTTGAGTTGGAAGGGACCTTAAAGATCACCTAATTCCAACACCCCTTGAGCCATTTGTTGACTTAGGTGGGATTTCAGCCCTTTTTCAGGTTATACATGCTCTAAACACATTCTGGAAAGAAGGGTGGTTTTGTCAGTTAAAACTTCTTCAGTCCTAGAGGGAAAGGATTCATCTAATCTAACTTTGTCCAAAAAGAAGTTACTCACTCAGGCTCTTGATACAATCAAAGAAGAGAGAGGGGCTAATGAAATAATCTGATCCTAAAAAAGAATCATAGAAACATTGACTCATAGAACATTTGGGTTGGAAGAGACCATAAAGACCATATAGTTCCAACCTCCCTGCTATGGGCAGGGCCACTTTCCATTAGTCCAGGTTGCTCCAAGCCCAAAGCCCACCTTTCAGGGGACATCTTTCACTAGACTAGGTTGCTCCAAGCCCTGTCCCACCTGGCCTTGAACACTTCCAGGGATGGAGCATTCATAGCTCTCTGGGCAACCTGTGCCTTCCCTCACAGTGAAGAATTTCTTCCTAATATATGTAGTATTTTCCTAATATCTGTAAAATAGATTAATCCCAGCCTTGGTAGGATGAATCATTGCCTGGGAGTGAATTCCCTCTTCACTCACAGTGCAGGAAGATGGGATGCCTACTTTCCAAACTACTGAGACTCAGTTGGATGAATTCCATCCACAGAGGGGCCAAGGCAATAAAAAGCACCCTCATCCCCCATTTGCTGGTTATAGAAAGCCCACACAGAGCTACAGATATTGTGCCCAGGCTTGGCCAAACTTGCACATCATGCACTTTTACCACCTGAATAAGCACATCTCCTAACTGCTGAGCACTGCTTTTCCCTCTCAAGGTGCCTCTCCTTTTCCTCTGAGAAGGAGCAATGTGTGGATTGTGAACAGGCTCACTTGCTGCAAACTCTGTCTCTCCAAAAATGCTAAACAGAGCTGTTTAATTTATTAGTTAAAAGAAGAAGAGTTTAAAAAAAGCTAATTTTATGCGTTAAAATAACTAGGACTTTTAATGGAATTAGTGTTACAAAAGCTGAATGTTTTTGGTCCCCGAGGTCAACATTTTCAAAACTGGTACTTATCTTTAAGAAACAGCTATCTCCCTTGAGCTGGAAACAGTTTCTCAGTGACCTTTACTTTTAATATGATATCCCTAAAGAGGTCATAGCAGGAGAAATCCTCCTTCTGTATGGCTTTGCTGGAATGAAGCCATCCAAGAGTCAGAGGATATAAAGGACCCTTTGGCCAATGCAAAAGTATAGAGCTTTTGTGCAGATGGTCCTGGCTTCCAACTGGTCCCTCCTGATCCACTGAGCCAATCCAACAATTAGAGGAAAATATTCAGAAAGCAGAACCTCTCAGACTTTCTCTCACCCATCTGCTCCTACAGACTCTGCAACAGGAGGAAATCTGGCTTGGGTAGTGGAAGAAGAGTGGAAAGTATAGAGCAGGGCTCAGAAAGGGCCAGAAGTTCAACCCAAAATGTAACCAGACTGTGAGAGAACTTGGACAGCACTGGAAAAAATATATACATTGGAAAAATATAAAAATTCCCAGCTGCAAAGGGCTTAGGATTTGGAAAGAAAAAAAAAAAATCCATGTTTTCTCCTCCTCTGTAACTTCAGAAAGCAAAATACACTGTCTAGTCAATGAAATTAAGATAAGCTCTTTGTATTTTTATGAGTACTGTACATTTTTTTTTGTCTCGAATGGTCACACATACAAAAATATTGCTGTATGAAACAATATTTATTCCTGCCAAAACATTTGACATTAATGGATTATAGAAAACCTTCCTAGACTGTATATTGTTTAAATATTGAAAACATTGAAATATTTTCTACAATCATCCTAGCAATAGTAAACTTCCTTTTACACTATCTGTATTGTAATTCCTAGTCTCTTAAACAGGCAGGTTGGCTTAAATAACTGCAGCTTTTAGGACCTGCTCCAGTGCCAGCCAAATTCAATTCAAACATTCAAGTAACATCAATCTCCAACTTAGAACTAAGTTTCTCATGCAATTTGTATGTATTTGAAGGAGGAATTTTTGCTTGCTTGAAAGGTTGCTAGTGTTTAATGTAGCTTACATTGTCTTTTAAAGTAAGACAATCAAATCACATAATGTAATTCATCTGCATTATTAGCCTTCCCCAAAGATAAAGTGCAGACTAGACACTGAGGCTGGGGAGGAAACACATGAGAGGAAACACTGCCTTTAAATTAGCATTAGGATTAGAAGATTTCAGAGAAGGGGAGGAAAAGTGAGGAAGTGCTCACTATGAAATGTACTCATAAGGATGCATGTCCTTGCATGTTTTATACAGGACAATGAAGCAGAGTTTGGCAAGGTAGAATCAGTGCCTGTAATCAAGACCAGGGGATTATTGTAATACCAAAGGCACCACTGCCAGCTCTCCCAATTTTATTACCAGTCTCAAAATATTACATTGTTTTCTTTGGCTTGATTCATGAAGTAGAATGATTTCATGAAAACCTTGTTTTTCTATAGAAATGAGATAAAACTAAATTGCAGAATTAGGCATGGAACCTTAAAGCTTGCAAAGCTAAATGGCAAGCTACAGCTTTTTGTCTCTCAAATTTCAGAATCTCAAATTTTCATTAAACCAGTTTCATGATTTGTTTGGACTTGACACAATGCTGAATGTATAGCAGTCAGTTGGCTACTACAAGAACAGTGATCACTTTTAGACTTGGTGCTGAGTGTTTAATATCTGTATGTTGGAGAGTTCTTGAGAAAAATCCCCATTTTTCTTTGGACTGTATTCCTAGCTTACAAACAAACAAACAAACAAGCAAACTCCAATACTCATCAATCACAAACACCTAAAAATCCCACTCTCTTCACCAAAATCAAAGAACCACTGCTTCTGCAATGTAAGAACCACCTTAACCAGTCTGAGGCATGGTGTTAGGGGAATGGAATTTAAAACTGCACACTGAAGAGCAGTCTTTGCTCTGCTAGCAAAGAAAATTGCTTTGATTTAAGAAATAATATACTTAGCATAGCAAATAACTCTTCACATGTGCAGTGGGGTGTGTGCTATGCCCCTTCTGTTCTCTACAGAGGCAACACAAGCTTTAGCAGCAGGAATAAACACTTGCAGACCCTAATTTTATACAATGGGGAGCTATATCAGAAGTCCTAAAGTAGCAAACCATGACTTCATCAAGATTTAAGCACAAAAGAGATGTTAGAGCCCTGACATGGAAGTAAGGGTGGAATTTCAATGGCTCATGTGGCTTTTGATCAAAGTTTTAGTGTCTGAATTACGTGGTAAGCACACCCATCGACTTCAAGGATAAAAGTTGCACCCCTCAAACACAAAGTTCAAAGAACTTGAAAGCTGCAATGACAGATCTTCTTTAGAACCTCACTCAATTGTGTCTGGATTTTATTCCTCACTTTGAAATGTTATATTAATAGGCAAACTACATGCAATATGGAATTACATATTAGATTCTTTTTTGTGAAATGAACCTGTACAGCTTAGGTTAAAAAACTCTAGGTCTTCACAAATGTTCACGGATAGCTTCAGCTGGTAATGCAAGCTCTTGCTGCAGACACAGGAGTACTTTCTATTCCTTTCATGAAACATAATACACAAATTGTTAATACCAGATGCACTGCATGATATAGTACTGCCTGATTTCCAAGGAGAGGACATGAACTCTCAGTTCTAACAATGAAATAGTGCTTAGTCTTTGGCACTTTCATGTAGAGATGCAGCTTGGAGAACAATTTTGTACCACTAATTTTACCTTGAACAGAAAGATTTACGACTCACATGTTTTGGGGAAAGGAGTAAACTTCAAGCTGTTTTGATAACATGAATATGAGATATAAAATACATTTTTTTCCAAGAGAGGCAGTCAGTCATCAAATTATCCCATAGATGAGTGCATTAGCAATCTAATTTGCAGTTGAAAAAAGTACATCCCTCAAGTAACAATGATGTGCCACTATGATTTCTTAAGATGACTTTCTCTCTGTCTCAAGACCATATGATTTTCACATCCTGGATTGAAAGCCCATCCTGAAAATACTTGAATAAAATCCTTAGTTTCAACACAGTTCTTGAAAACTGAAGCTGAAATCTGAATCTACACTAACAGTGAGAAACAGGCAACAAAAACTTCTAAGGTGCACATAATGCGATGGATATCACATTATTTTTCCTCAGTGTCCCAATTCTTTCATTTTGTAGACCTAACCTAATATGAAAACATTAAAACATAATCTTTGAGCTCAAAACCACTTCCAAAACTCCCAAGTATAAAACTGTTGCTGAAGCGCTCTGCTCTGTTTATCATATTAAGATACATTATTTTGATGGAAAAAATGCTAGATTGCAAGAGTAACATAATAGAACCAGCAAGCACTGCCAGCAGGTCTGAGGAAGAGAGAATAATTCAGAGATATTGTCATCTGTAGGCCAATTTATATTGTCAGACAGCAGGTTCACATTATTCTCTGATGTCACTGCAATAATGGCATAATATAACAATTGAGCAAAGAATACCTGTGGGGTATAGCTATACAGTGTGGTATATATATACTTGTTAAAAGTATTTCAGGCATCCTTCAAAGCAGAACCAGAAGCAGCAAAAGACCAGGATTAAAAAAAGAATGAGAAATTGTGCTCATAAAGACTTCTGAATATTTTAGCCCTTGTTTTGTGATGATGAAGCAAGCGTAATGTTGTATTTCATTGATTCAGCAGGCTCATGATTAAAATAAACTAATGTAGCAATTTAGGGGTTTTGTGATTCTTTCTTTTTTTTTCCTGTAACAAGAAAAAAAAAAAGAAAGCTTTTTAACAGTTCCTCACGGCAGGCATAATGTGCATCTGTGCTCTGATTTACTGCACATGCTGCCTTCTCTAGCATCATGTTAAGTTAGGATATCAGCATGGTAGGTCACACAGTGGGAATGACCTTTTGCTAATCACTACACATCAGTTACTACTGGCACACAGCTCATTACTAAGAAACCCTCCAACTAGCTGGCTTTCAAATCCGCTCCCACTTTGATTCGTTTTTCCTCTTTTCTTTTTCTTTTTTTTCCTCCAGACTGAAGATTATACTTTTACATAAAATCTCTGTTGTGTAATTTTGCCAGCTAGGGTTCCAAAGTCAAAAAGGCACCCAGTTAATTTTCTGTGATTATAAAAGGAGCCTGAAAATTCATACTGAAGGTAGGCCTGTAATCTTGGGTTTCATTAAAAAGGTCAGAACATTTTTCCTCACCACATATTATTAAAATGTTTGAGGGCTGCCATTAATTTGATTTTTCAGGACACAGAAATCTCACTGGAAATTAGAATGTAATCCTGCTGTTGCTTTCCTGACACTTTTCATAGGGCAGGATACGGCTGCAGGGACTAAGAGCTCTCCTGCAATTTACAATTGGTTACTTTGGCCAAATGGCAGGTGACTAATGCAAGACAAACTGTTTGCACAACCTGGGAGCGCTGGGTTTAATTTCAGTTCTGAAAGAGGGGTGAAAGTGTTTCTATTGACGCTGAACCATGAGCTGTCCCCTGCCAATACATCTGCCACATTTAATACACAACACACCCCCCACCCCCTGACAATGTGATTATTAGAGGCACAGCATTCAATAGCTTAGGAATACAAAACATAGCAGGAGCAAAATGAGAGGGTTTTTAACTCACCGGCCATTTGCTGAATGCCGCTGAAGGCACCCAAGTTACTGGAGGAAGTTGCTTGCTGCAGGAGCTGCAAATGAACAACACAACACAGCAATCTATCTGACAGTAATGTAACAAATGAAGATAAAACTAAAATGAGCTATCGTTTCACATTTGGAGTATTTCTGCTTTCCTTTACATTTATACAGTCTCTTGCTTCTGTCTGCTGTTGGAATGAACATCCCTAGAGTCAATGCTGTAAATCCATATTAATGTCTAATCTCTATTAAGAAACACAGAGACACAAGGGAAACTCAATAACATGGCTGCTTTAAAACAATTAATCAATTTATTCTTTTTAACAACCAGGTGTTAAATCTATTTAAACCAACATAGTGTGACTAATTACAACCCTCTGTAGTCTAGTAGTTACCATAACTCATCTCTGTCAATCATGGTCCATTCTTCCCCACCTCTGTGAATTCAGTTTTTTCTTTATTATCTTTATGAATCAAGCACACAGATATTCATTAGACTGGTAATTGTATATATAGCAGTTTAGCCTATCTCACATTAATTAGCCAACCTCAGTACTAATATATATTTTTAATTGCCGGGTAAATTGCTGTTTATATCAGTATATCAAAACATTCTATGCACACAAATTATGTATTTATTCATACACAATACATATATATGGGCACATCCATTCCATAGAATGGTTTGGTTTGGAAGGGACCTCAAAGTTCCTCCACTTCTAGCTACTCTGTCACAGGCAGGGACACCCTCCCATCAGGTTGCTCAGAGCCCCATCCATCATGACCTTGAACACTTCCTGGGCTGGGGCAGCTTTGGCTTCTCTGGATAACCTGTGCCACTCTCTCACCACCCTCACAGGAAAAAATTTCTTCTGAGTATCGCATCTAAACCTGCCCTCTCTCAGTTTAAAATCATTGCCCCTTGTCCCATCACTAAATGCCCCTGTAAAAAGGCCCTCTCCAGCTTTGTTGGAGGCTCCCTTCAGGTATGGAAAACTCAAAAGTCCCAGAGGCTTCTCTTCTCCAGGCTGAACAGCCCCAACTCTTTCAGCCTTCTCTCCATAGCAGAGCAGAGGGACAGAACCCCCTCCCTTGACCTGCTGCCCACAGTGCTGGGGATGCAGCCCAGGACATATCTGGCTTTCTGAGCTGGAAGTGCACATTGACAGGTCATGTTAAGCTTCTCATCCACCAACAATTCCAAGGTCTTTCCAGGGCTGCTCTTGATCCATGCTTTTTCCTTGTGATTGCCCTGATTCAGGATCAGGACCTTGTACTTGGCCTTGTACTTAGTGAGGTTATATTTGTCTTACTTGGAATGATGAGGAACCCCCAAATTATCCAAAAGCTCCTCAACCAGATCTCCCAACTCCAAAGCCACGAAGGGCAGAGGCTCCCTCACAGCTGTAATGAAGGGGAGCCTCTCTTGGCCATCCGGGACCAAAGACATGTGGCTGTGAATTTCAGATTTTCCAGTAGGGACAGCAGCTACCACCTGTTTCTCATCTTACAAATGAACTAAGGAAAAAGCCATTTTAAATTTATGGCTTTTCCTGGCCACATTCACTTTCTGTATAAGGGGATATGAACCATGCATGTTTAGCATTGACAGGACCGTACATTAAAGCAAAAGCCATTTCCAAATGAAAATGTGGAAATTTGATGCTTGAACCATAACATTGTAGTTTAGAGGCTGCACCATATGGATATGGCCTCTACAGTGTTCAGCTGCCTTTCTGTCCTCCCCTAGGGAAGAACTTAAATTTTATTCCAGCTATAAAAAACAGTTTCTAGTGTTACACTGTGCTCATGGGCATTCTGTTCCCCCTTCCCTGGGACCCTGTGACTCTGATCAAGGTAACCCCAGACCCCTTCTTCCTGCCCCAACGGGGTTGGTGGAGAGCCAAAGAAGCCCACCCTGTCCAAAGTCTATATAGACCCCTGACATTTCCTGTTCGTTCTCTTTTGCCCCGCTCTCCCCATGGACATCACAGAATAAAGAGAGATGCACCAACATATATCGGGGTAAGAGCCTCTTTTGGAAATCTTTGCCATCTCCTGATATTCCTCCCCTCAAAGCCTTGGATCTCTGGGCTAGCCTGATAATAAAGGGAGCTGAGAGGGGGGGACGTCACTCTGGCATTCAAAACCCCCAATAAAACTAATGTAAGTTTTATTTACAGTGGAGGGGCTGGAACTAGGTGATGGTGATCTTCAAGGTCCTTTCCAACCCAAGCCTTTCTATGAATCTATTATTTGTTTTGCAGATAAACACCCCCAGAAGAAGACACACTTTGTATCCTGGACAATTTAGCAATTTCCTGCGGGGAGTTTAGTAGAACTGATTTACCGTGGTCCTAAAATAAATAGAGCATAATATAGCCACCACCTCTGAAATGAACTTACAGCTAGGTATTGTGGTGTGAGTCCTCCAAGACCTGTGAGGTTTCCCCAAGTGGCAGTATTGAGCTGTTGCATCTGCTGAGCCAACTGCTGCTGCAAACGCCGCTGCTCCTTGTCCTTTTGGGTGTCAGCAAACTTCACCACGATTGGCGAAGAGCAGCCCTGTGGTTGGACAGATCAGGAAAGACAGAAGTGTTAAATCACACCAGGTCACCCTTGCCTCGTGAGCTCAGCCATGTCCTGTAGGGCCACTGGCACAACCAGATCGTTCACCCTCTCTGTGACTGGCACGTGTAGGACTGCAAGGACTCAGATTTTCAGGTTGTTAAGAAAAGAGGCTATGGAGACATTATTGATTCCCCAGCTCTTTTTATAAAGCACCTTTCCTCAGGCTCTCTTTTCCTTCCAGCTATCCAAATTGCTGCCAGAGACAGCAAAGTGTACCAGTCCTCTTTAATTAAGCTTCACAGATGATGAGATGGACGTGATGCTTTGTCTGCAGTCTGTTTTCAAGACAGCGCCAAAGGGAGAGGTGTCCAACCTCCGTGCTGCCAGGGACCACACAGCCAACACAGCCCTGCCACCACGGTCTGGCTGTGCCATCAGGCTCAGTGCAGCTGGTGTGTGCATCCTAAAGAGACCGGGAGCAGCAGATTTACCTCAGCACCCATTGACATCAGTGAGGCACTGGCCCTGTTCACACCAAGGACCCCCAGTCCATTCACCCACCTGCGGTCCGCTCCCGGGCACGCTTTGTACCAAGCACCCTTGAGATGTGAACAAAGGGCAGGATGCAGACCAAAAGGGACTAGTTCTGGTGATAGCAGCCCATTCCTGATTGACACCATTTCTTCTATTGCTTCTATCAGTCTCTTGTTACATGGTATGGCAAGGCTGTAAGATGCCTTAGGAAATAGGGAAGCTGTAAGAAAGAGCTAGAGGTCTGGTCTGCAGCCTATTCCTCACCCATGGCTGAGGGACCCCTGGGAAGAAGTTGGAGGTCACAGACCAAATGGACTTTTGAGGTAAACTGGAATTTCCCTTGGACTTCGAATTGGCACTTCCTGGGCAAAGACACTGAGACAATGAGATGTGATTATGAAAGATGTCTCTGTTGATTTATCTCTGTTTTTTTCCCCTGCTAAGAAATGTTTTATATTTCAACCTTTCAAATATTTTTTTTTTCAGATCAAGAAAGCAAGCTATATACTGCAATGATTCAGTTCTTCAAATTAATTCAAGCATTTTATGAGTCATTGAAACTGTCAATCCACTTCATACTGCTTTTCAACCTCACAGCATCCAATGAATAACTTCCCTTGCCATGCTTTGTTATACTAATTTCTTGTCTAACTTCAATGTGAACACAATGGCAGGAGTGATAAGTGACTCAAGTCCAAGAAACACAGCAGTGCTTTAGCCAAAGTGTAAAGTGTGGGATACAGAGCAGGGTTCTAAGTCACCTGCTCTTCCCATGGCTGCTCTCACAACACTGAACATCTTCAGAAAAGTTCCTGTCCTCAATTAATTACAAAAAGCAGCCATATACCTTTTCTCTGAAAAACCTCATACCACGACAATGGATAAAAATAGTCCAAATAATCAGATAAAATGGATAAATAATAAAACAAAATAAAATAAAATAAAATAAAATAAAATAAAATAAAATAAAATAAAATAAAATAAAAATAATAATAATAACAATAAATCTCTTATATAAAAAATCCCCATCAACACTGTTCCTTTAGAATTATCTTAGAAAATCATTGCTTGTGGTTTATTATTCCACCTCCAATTCTTTTCCTGTGTGTTTCATTGTAAAAATGTCTTTTAGTGTTTCAGTGAGGGAGATAGGAGATCCATAACACTCCAGCAATCAAATAAAGATTATGAAGGAGTTGGCTTGTTACACAATTACCTCTCTCTAGTGATTTTTATACTAATATTAAAAATAAGATCATTTAGAAAAAAAAGAAGAAAGAGAAAGGAGCCAGGGGGTAGAGGATGTGAGAGATTTTTCTGGTTTTGCTAATAAAAAAAAAAGCAAGCTGTTTCTATCTTATACAAGATACAAGTAACATTATTGGTAACACTGGGCTAAGAACAACTGGAACTTACTGCTTTCTGCCTGGAAGTACAGGAGAGTCAAGTATATTTCCAAAAAAATAGAAATGCATATCAAAGAAAGAAATATTATATGGTTATTATAATAGAAATATTATAGAAATATTATATTGGTAGTTCAGCATTCAACAGTACAGCTGACATATTTATGAATGCTTAAATGTCAGTAAATTGTATAAAAACAATATCTCTGCAATTTATGAATCTATAATTCATTTTTTCACTGTCTATATTTCATCACTTCATCATTTTCAAGAAAGCAGACATTCTTAAGACTGAGATTATATCTAGCAAGTGGCTCTATATGAGAAAAGGGTTGTTATTGTATGAAATTTACTCCATGATAACAAATTAGTGTCTTCTATTGGTGCTGCAATTGAATTACTTAAACAAACAAACATAAAAACTCCATAGAAAAGAAATAGAAGAGCAAACACTTTAGAGCAGCAATTATATTTTAAAAATCAGTTGATTTAACCAGGTCAGTAAGTCAGGTGGAAAGAGCAAGAAGAGAATGCATTATTCTATGAGACATATTCATCTGGACTTAACAACCCCATTGTTCTTTCCTAGTCCTCTTTGAAAATTCATCTCGGTCAATCATGTGTGCTAAAGAACTGAAAATAATTTAAAAAGGGAAAAATCTGTAGTAATTGGGTTGCAATGCTATTGTGTACTATGTATCTTCCTCTAAGCCCACTTTTATTTGCAAAATGACATGAAACCAAAGTGTCCAAGGATGACTGTTTCAGGCTGAGGTTGGACATGTAACATGAGTCAACCCAATTTAACTTTTCACCAGAAGAGTATTGGCAAAAGTGAGCAAAGCTTTTTTTTTTTTTTTGCCTATGGGGTGATTCTTGTTTTATGCACAGAAGTGCATTTCCTAGCTTGAGGGGAAGCTTCCAGCACAAACAGAAGGTGCATCTCCCTTCCTCATTCAATGGCTTCATATTTCCATGCCATTCAGTGCCATTTTCTTCCCAACAGCTGGTGCTGCCTTCATATTTTTCTGTTGTCATGTTGAGTCCCTCTCCCTCCATGGAGAGGGAGGGTGCATGGCTTCTTTCCAAGAAGGGACTCAGCCTAAGCTCAGTTGATGCAAAGACCCAGATGTTCAAAGGGCAAAATATTTGGAATTGCCTTGCCAATCTGAGGATCTCATTGATGATGTGTCTAAAGGTGTAGAGAAGGATTTTGATCCAAGAGTAGCCATTCTACAGAACTAATCTCATTAAGAGTATTCTGTCAAAATGCAGCCCCTTTTGGAGTGCTGCATACAACAGAGCAGTGGGAGAATTTGTCTGGGAGGTGTTATGTCTTTATTTTACCGTCTTCGGAAGTAGAGCTGTGTAAAATTCATTTTGCTAGATGGAAAAATACATTAAAACACATAGAAAATATAGGTAAAACACAGTATTTCCAATAAATATTTCCTTTTTACTTGGAATCAAACCCAGTAAAACATATAGATCTGAATTAATGGAGCAGTGCACGGCAGACAAATTACTACAGGTATTATTGCAGAGTCTCAAAGTGGCAGTTTTTTCACAGTATACTATCAGACTGCATAGAGTGTATAACAGCAGCTTTCTAGTAAAGATAATTTCATTTATTCTCATCTCATTGGCAGATTCTCAACTAAAACTGTATACCCAGGGTCTAAAAATGCATTGCACTGAAAAGAAAACACATTGATTATAAAAGAAGCTCAACCAAATTCAAATGTGATGTTTGGAAAGACAACAGCTTTGCAATGCTGATATCATTACTTGTACTATACAGGAAACAGTTAGTGACATTTTCATGCACTGGCTTGAATTTTATCTTCTCCTCCTCCTTTGTCCTCTGTCCACCCTCCCACCCCTGGTCTCCCCCCTTGGCTCGTTACACAAAGCAGCTCAACGACATGACGCAATAATGATTGTTTAGCACCCAGCATGCTTTGGGAGACTAGAGCATTGCAAAGGAAGATCACTGAGAGAAAAAAAAATAAAATTTGAAAGGTCCTGGTGGAAAAAGAAATAAAAATAAAAAAAAAAGAAGAAACAAGTGCACATAACATCAATGCCACCTCTGAGAAAAATCATCACTACACGAAGATACAGTATACATAATACAGTATAACATGCACTCTCCAATGATAAGCTAGAAGATCCAGAGTAAGTAAAGATTTCATACTTGTGCGGTTTTTTGTGCAAAATTCTGAAAGACCATGACAAAAATCACAGACTGAAAAAAGCTTTGAGATTGCCAGAGAAGCTGTGGCATTCAATAACCACTCCAATGACCAGATCGTTAGCCAGCAGCTAAAGTCACACTGAGTGAACGAGTTTAAACTTTTGAGTTGCTCATCATGATAAAATACAAGGCCATAGAGGCAGTTTGGAAGGGAATGAAGAGTGTTGCTTGTGAGGGGCCAGCCACGATGGTGCTCTGCAGGAAGTGCCACACTCCAATATGCTCTGTCATCATTAGCATTTTTATTAGCTACATGAAGAAGGCGAAATAATATTAACTTAAAAAGAGATTCTATTTGCAGAAAAACACATGCACTAGTAACTCAGTGTGGCCATGTTAAATCTCTTGAGCTTTTTCTCAGAGCAATTCAAACCACAACACTTAAAAAGCTATTTAAAAGAAACGAAGATTTTTCTTCGGGGAAACGTGTGTTAAAAATAGAGGTAATTTAATAATCAGAGATACTCTGAGTACAACTGAGGAGTGGTATTCATAGCATTTTTATTTTCTGCTGAATGCCACTGAAAACAGGATTGAGAGCTGTGTTTGGATACCACACAGCAGACTTATTGTGCTCTTTTAGGTGATTGAGAAAAATAAAGCTTCACAAAGACAGGTAGAGTGAGCCGGTAAAAAATTTAAATCTGTGATTGTCATGTGTCTGATCTGATCCAGGAGAGCATGGCTTCACCATTCGCAATCATTTGCACAAAGAAAACAAAGAAAGGGCAAATGATACAGTACTGTACCTCCATGGTCTGAGACTGGTGCATGGCTTTGATTGCATTCTGTGCCATTGCCCTTGTAGAAAATGTGACAAACGCACAGCCTGTGGGAACAAGGGGACAGGGAGCAGGAAAGACAAAAAACAACAAGACAAAAGGGTTGGACGCTTGTTAAACCAACACAGTCTACGAGAACGGCCACAAGACGACACTGTTCTCAGTAGTACATAAAAATAAACAACTTCTCTAGTTTATTTATTGACAGTGCTGACTTGCTAATCTGACCATAGATGAAAGAAAAAAAATTAGGTGGAGATGGGTGACAAGGAGGGTTTTTATTTCATTTTTTTGTTTTGCTTTGTTTTTCTTTTTTGTTTGTTTGTTCTGTTTTGTTACTGTTTTTCTTTAGCCACAGGGTTTAAAATAAATAAGGCTTTTATGTAGCCTTTGGATTGCATAGTTAAATCTATTCAGACCATGCATTAACAATTGCTTGCTCTGGCTTTTGTGTAGGTAAACTGTGGATAGTGAATAAATGTTGGCATCACTGACAGCTGAACTGAGAATTTAATAAAGGGGTCCATAACATCACAAATTACTGTGATGCACCAAGAAGTATCATACAAATAAGAATGAGAAAAATACCCCTGTGTATCCTGTGACTATTTGTGAAAAGACTCAGACAAAATTCAGTAATGTAGGTGGATTCTCAACATTTAAGAAAATAACATTTTAAAAATAAAAATTATTATGGTATTTGTTTCTCTGAGTTCTAGGTACAAGTATAATTCTTTGATCCATGAAAGCTACTGCCAGCTTGAACAATTCTGAAGCTATGTGAGTGAATAACTGAAAAAAAATCGTTGTTTTTTTTTTTCCCCTCTTCAGCCTTTAAAATCATAATGAAAAGCCAGTAGGCTAATGCCTGGGCTATTTTCCCACCCTTTTACTATTGTCAGCCATACCTACACTGGGCATGGTGCAGGTCAAGGGCTTCAGTGCATGTCTCACTGCCCTTTTGGCTAATAAAAACATTGCCTCCTGAAATTTACATTTTATTCTTCATGCACCCTTGGGCATCTTAAAGAAAAAGACTGTGAAATTAATGCAGATTCAGGCTGATTTTGTAATAATACCATGGCACACTAAAAGCTTAGCTAAAGCAACACAGACTTATTTCACTTGTGATCTCTAATGACTTTAAAAGTGCATTGATTTTCAGCTCCCTTAGCCTTGCACAGTTTGAACTTAGGTTTCAGAGAATAATTTAGTGTTCCACTCAATTTCCTCAAAACATTATTATTATTACTACTTAAAAGATTTCCAAATGAAGCAGATCTAAGCACTGAGAGGCTAAAGCATATTGTCATTTTAGAGCTAATGCATGAAAGCTATATTCTGGCATCAAAAATACAATATTGTTGCCCCTGTGGCCAATGGGCAAAATAAACCATTTTGCAATCCAGCAAGCAACAGATTGTTTGGTTTATGCAAATCAATTTGAGGCATAGAATACCTTTTCTTTTTAGCTCTGTGTGTACCTGGTAAGATTATCAAGTCAAGACTGTATTCACATTTTAATCAAACAACAGTAAGATAAAGCAATGCCTGATCATTACCCAAAAGCACTACATCTAATCATGAAAATAAAGTCAATGCATTTTTGCATCATGCGGTATTTTTTTTTCTTTTTAATGTAAAGGCCCTCGATTCAAAAGAACCTAAGCTAGCTCTGGCTGATAGATGAGCATCATAAAATCAGAAATAAAAGTTCTTTTACCCAAACTTCACCACAGCATTGTGACTTCCTGTATTTCTTAGGTAACAAAAACAACTGATGATGTCTCACTACTGTTTAGCCACACTACATAACGCTATATTAGTCTTGTTCAACAACATATTTCTGGAATATGATGTAACAAACCAGCTTTCTGTACAGCAATCTAGACAAAATGTGAAGTAGAAGGGTAAATAATCTACAGTACTTCTCCTAGATTCCATATTGCTGCTGTGCACTAAAATTAAACAGGCCCAAATTTGCCATCAGTCTCAAAGTAATCTCTCTTAATACCATTTCTATTATCAGCATTATTATTTTCTTGTCTTGCAAATTCAGTGGGGGATGAGCACAAATAGAGATATACTGGAGGGCAGGCAAGGAACCCCATGCAGAGCCTTGAATAATATTGTTGATAATGGTCAAGAAACTGTTTCATTCACTTCTTTGGTTCTCACTATCCAGGAGTGTGTACTACAGTGACAATTATTGAATGAAGGTTTCAAATACACGAGAAGCATGTAAAATGTCAACAAAAATAAGTAAGACACAGTTTATGCATTTATCACAATTTCTCCCCAGCAGTTTTGCTGTAAGTAACTTACTGAGAGATGTTGCAATTAGCAAGTCTCAAAAGAAATGTGAATCAGCAGAGAAATAAGGCTGCATTCCTCTCAAGATAAAGCACCCTGCCCCTTCCCTCCCTTGAGCTTTCTCTTTTTTTTTAACCACAGGGCTCAGCTGTTGGGTACTTTCAGTGCCCAGCACTACTGCAAAGCCTTCCTCCTCACTCCTCAGCCCAAAACCATTTGCATGGGTCTCATTGCCTTTGTCATGGACCAAAAAGACCTTTGTAGCAGATCTCTGTACCAATTTGAAATAAACTTGTTCTTTGGGCAAGGGAAATGCCTGATGAATGAGGTTATGCAACTTGAATATGAGCATTTGGAAGCAGCATTCCACAGAGAGGATGGGGCTGCATTTTAATTAGGGTTTGCCAGCCAGAGGCTACAAGGTTAAGTCCTCTTGTTATCTCCATTCAGCAGGCCATTTCCCACTGATAGACAGTGGCCATTTCCACCTTACCATTTATTGGGGTAAATTTCCAATTTACCTCAATATCATGGCAAAAATTCAGTAGACAATGTTATTCTAAAATTATTTGAAAACCCAGACTTTAAGAGGTTTCCATTAAGTGCCCCAGTTAAACATTTGCTAATTTAACCATTCTTCCAGACACTGTTATGTGTATTCACATCCAAGGGTTATTTTTCAGCTACCAAACCTGGACATTCACACACATTTGTTTATTGATTATGTGTGCATATATATTTTATTGTGCATGGAATATGGGATCATATCTATTTTATTATGTGTGAACTATGGACTCCTTTCCTTCATGACCAGACTGCCACACTGGATGTGAGCTTAGCCTATGTCATAGAATTTGGTCTATTTAACTCAATAATTTTGCATTTATAATTTAGGCGTTCAGAAAAAGCTGTTGTGAAATGCTTGTATTTACTGCCATGGTCAATGGCTGGACCTTGATTTTCCTCTATGGGACACATATGAACTGGAGGAGGATGGTTTAGTTGGGTACCTGGGATTTAATCAGAAGTTGGTGTCCAAGGACACTGGATTTCATTTCTTTATGTTTCTGAAGGGCTGGGAAAAGCCTTTCCAGCACTCTCTCACTGACTGTGTCACATGGGTGCAGGTGGTCTTTTGGGAACACACTGCCAGCTCCAGCACCATAAATCACAATTAGAAGAGGACGGGACTAATCAGATTTCATGCCTTGTGGTGCAAGGAAACAAGAAAGATTTCCTTGGCCTCTTACCTCATCCTATGAAACATGGCATTGATTGGCGTGCCACGGAACAAGGTCTTCCCAACCCACAGCTACAAGAAAACTATTTGTGTTCTACCCCACTAATATCTGATTATTCCCTTCTTACTGGAGCTGTGGAGCTGACTGGGAGGTAAAATATGGAGAGGAGGATATTTCTATAGCTAATGCCTTGAAATAACTTCAGTTTGTACAACCAACTACCTAGATACACCAAAAAAATACATTGTTTTGTAAAAACAGCCAGCCTACAAGACACCTCACACTTATTTATCAGTCTGGTTTCAAAATGTCAGGAATCACTGACAGAAGGAAAAGGGGAGGGAGAAAGAAGATCTAAGAATTTTAGCTGCTTCTCCAAGGCTGCCTTCTCATCCCCTACAGCAGATAAATGAGTGACTAGGGAAGGACTGCTGGAAGTAATTTCCTTCTGCAGAATTGTAGTAAGGCACCCAGCCTTGTCATGGGAGAAATTTTGGAGCCCATTATCACATCTGCCACGTTGGCTGAGACAACATCTAAACTCACAGGCTTATTCCTTACCCCTCTCTCACCACAAACTGGAAAAGAATTCTGAAAATGCAGTCAAATGTGATAGGCCTCCTCCTTGACCCTGGCCACCCTAAACCTAGGGCTTGCTGCTTGAGTGACTGAATATTTGAAATATTTAAAAAAGCTCAGCACTGCCCCATTTCAGCTCTTGCTTCATGTTTTTCAGGTTTTTCTAGAAATGTTGAGAAACAGTCAGCAGTTCTTGCACAGCCTAACACAACATCAACTGCTGCGAGCTGCAAGTAGAACATTTTTATGTATGGAAGCTTCAGGTAAGGTTCATACCTACACAAGAAACCTCCCTCATGAAAACACCATGGTCTACCTGAGGTTTTAAAGTGAAGCCAAAGGGAGATGCAAAATGCAGAGACATTTTTGGAAGTCTAAAAACATGGTTTTGACACAAAAGAAGACCCAAGAGATTTTCAAAGCCACCCAAGCAACCGCAGTGCTCTGTTAGTGCCTGCTGCGCAGCTGGTGCTCTAATGGTTGCACCACAGCTTCCCAGTACACTGTAAACAATTTTTTCTTCAATTTCTGTAAAGAAACAAAAGTGAAAAGCTGCCAAATACTCCTGCAAGGAGTAGTTGGGATCCTCTGAGATGAAAGCTTCTATTTAAAGAAAAGATAAAGCATGAATAAAAAGCTATGGAAATTGAAGTGTTATTAAAATTAAGCTGTAGTTGGGTTAAAATGTTTCTAGCTGAGATTGCAAAATAGACTTTTCCTTTTCTTTTCCTGTGCTAATACAGCCCAATCTGAAGAAAGGAGCATCCTGGAAAACAGCCTTCTAATGAAGACATCATGCAAAAATCTGTCTTGGTGGCTAAAAAGCATTTCATCTACAAACTAAATTGTACATCAAATTGTTTACCGTAGTGATATCTGGTTGTTAAGTATTACCTAAGACATGCAACGACAGG